GAGAGAGAGAGAGAGAGAGAGAGAGAGAGCAAAAATTTATTAACTTGAGTCGAGGACCTTATAATCGTGTGATGTGTCTCATTAGAGAAGGTGTATAATATTCTTTGATAGGTCGACCGAGAGCCGAATGTGGGGGAAGATGCATTTGTGTGGTTAGGAACACTTGTTCCATTGGTTGTTGAAATGGTCAATGGTAGATTTACGTTCGAGACATTAACTGCGCCAACCGGAAACCGACTCCATTTTCCGGCTTACGACAAATTCTTGAAAGAAATTCACGGGTATAATATGATAGGGCCCCTTTTTCCTTTATTAAGACCATTTTTCCACTCCTAATGATAGAATATTGTTTTTTTAATGATGGTCAAATCGATTTTGGTTCTGCGTTAGATGCGTAAAGCATTTACAGAAGCAAGAAACTCCGAGGGGAGTCGAGTTCTTGGACGATGAATTTATACTCCACGTCGAGGGGACTGTGAATTCTCAAAGAGTGGTTCGCCATATTGGAGGAACTAGTTGGCCTGGTCAGTCTCTAGTTATTTGATTTCGTCGCATTATTTATATTGTTCGATTCGAGGTGATGTGTTTTGACGGATTCTTAAAAATTGTATAGATTTAATAATATTAGTTTGTGGACTTGTAGGCAGATTGACGCTGACCAATTACGCCCTTTACTTCGAGGCATCGGGCATCGTTTCATATGAAGACGCACTAAAACTCGACCTCTCAAAGGACTCGGAACAGAGTGTGAAACCCACAGCGACAGGTCCTTGGGGTGCTCCTCTATTCGACAAAGCTATCGTTTACGAATCTTCTGAATTGTGAGTGTAGTTACTAACAAGCAGCAGCAGTATTCCTTTGTTAAGCTTATCCTCTTTCGTTTTCTTCGGTTCTTTTAATTTCGTTTATCAAAGCCCATAGGTTCAATCAAGTTTCGTATGGTTTGTAAAAGTTGCTTCCCAATCTTAGACTCAGATCGTGTTTGTTTATTTACTTGTTTCCAATCTATGTACTAAAAAATTACATATAAATCCCCAGCTACTTCCAAATGTAACAAGCCTTTTTGCCTCACGTTTTACATTGACATAACATCACTCGATTATTCTAGCTATAAAACACCTAATCATACCGTAATTTTGAAAGTTAGTTAATTTTTTATTTTTTATTTTGGTCCATCCCAAACAATATCATTTTCTCTCTAAACATGCCAAGGCAAGAAGGCATTATCCTAGAGTTCCCGGAGGTTACAAGTTCGACCAGGCGAGACCATTGGCTGGCCCTCGTCCGGGAAATCATACTCCTGCACAGGTTTCTTTCAAAGTATAAAGTGGACCCCACCTTTCATGCCTGGGAGATGCATTCGAGGACAATACTCGGCATCGTGCGCCTCCACGCGGCCCGCGAGATGCTCCGCATTTCGCCGCCTCTCTCCAAGAGCTTCCTCATATTCACCCTTCTCGACGACCTTCCAAAGGGGGATTACGTGCTCGAGGAGCTTGCCGGAAGCCTCGGGAGGTCCGGTGGTGGGGCCCACCCGTGCAGCGCCAGCTCCATCCTCAGGAATCTCAACGTCTCCCGGCCCTCGTGCCCGGTCGAGCCTCGGCGGGAAATTGTTGGTGGTGATGATAACAACAAAGATATGTCGTCTTTGGAGAGCGCGATAAACCAGGCGCGTGAGGAGGGGAAGGAGATGGAAGTTGCTAGAGCTAGTGCCGAGGGCCTTAAGGTTGATGGCATTAGTGAGAGTGCACAAGTGCTTATGGTAATTGTTCATTTTGTTGTAATGTTGTTTGTTTTTTTTTTCTTTTTTCTTTTTTTTTTTTTGGTTATATTTATTGTTATTTAATAATTTGCAGGGGCTACTTGAACCAGTTAAGAGCGAAGTCCCCAAGTTGCTAGGGGTTTTCACATGGGAACGGCCCCTGGCCACGTCTATTGTCATTGTTTCGGCTATGGTGGTCATCTACAAGTAAGAATAGTACTTTTTTTTTTCATTTCACATAAATTAGCGACATGGGTTTCTTGAAGTAGTAGTTACGAAACGTCTAAAATGGCAAAGTCCGAGTGACTTATGGAAACATTATTTTGGAATAATGCAGAGAGTGGGTGGGGCCGGCGGTATCGAGTTTCTTGTTGTGGGCAGTTGCGAAGATGATGTGGGCAAGGTATGAGAGGATGTACGAAAAGAAAAACAAGGTCGTGATCCATACCGGGTCGGATCAGACAGCCATGGAAAGCATTGTGTCGGCTCAGCAGGGGCTAAGGACCCTGCATGAGATACTTCGGGAGACGAATATAGCATTACTTAAAATATGGTCTATTATGCTCTCTAAAGCTCCAAGAGTAAGTTGCACCACCTCACATTCCACATTTTTAAGTTTTAAGATTTTTGTGCCCATTAGTTTAAAAACTAGATAAAGTAAGAAAATTATTGTTTTTTATTACTCAGAACTGATATTTCTAAACTTCTACTTCAGCATACGAATACGGTCATGATGATCTTGACTTGTTCTGCGGTTGTGTTGGCTGTGGTCCCGTTCAAGGTCATCTTGATGGTCGCTGTTTTGTACGGTTTTGTGATGACATCAAAAATTGGGAAACGTCTCCAGAGTGATCCAGGCAACCGTCGTTTGAGAGAATGGTGGGACTCGATTCCTGTGGTCCCCGTCGAGTTTGTGGACAAGGAAGCAGTCGGAGTAAATAGGGAGGTAAGTTGTTTTAAATATTGTTTTGCTGTATCATTGTTAGATTATATGGGAGTACACTGAGGTTTGAACTAGTTAAGACGAAAACAACAATTTGGAAGTGTCAGAATTTGGGGGGTGTTCCTTGTAACTAATGGGTAAATGAGGGGTGTTCTTGTAATTTGAAACAGATAATGTGATTATAATTAGATCGAGCCTTGGGTATTTTTGTAATTAACCTATATTGACTACGAATAGTATCACTTTTTTTTGGGTCCATACAGTTCGCGAGCAAATTGCCATTTCGTGATGGCATACACCGGGCAGGCAAAGTGCAATATCCAGAACAAGGGGAAAGGAGATGGGAATGTGTGGAAGTATGGAGGATGATAATAAAAGATAAATGATGTATTATGAGTTTGTTTGTTGCCCTTAATACGTACTCGAATGATGTAACATGATAAATGGTTATATATGAAATAACATTGTCAAAACTATGAGGTAATACAAGATACAATCGATAAATGGTTATATGTGAAATAACATTGTCAAAATTGTGAGGTAATACAAGATGCACATTGTTGCGCAAATTGCCCATCTCTTGATTGGAACTTGATGAGAGGTCTCAATAGAAAACACTTCGACGCTCAAGTCAGTTTACGTTTAAAAATAATGTGGCAGTAATGTAATCTGCGCGTGTATGTTTGTTGTGTAAAAATAATAATATGTAACTCCTTTTATAATCAGGGTCGTGTTGTCCAAGGGAGTCCTAGTATAGTCCAAGGGAGTCCTAGTATAGAGAGAAGTCTTCTCGTATCATCCTCTAATCTAGACTATATCTTCTTGAATCTTTAGAATCCTCAATGATATACACTTCCTATATTCAAGGGAACTAAGACTATATCTTCTTGAATCTTTAGAATCCTCAATGATATTGTCAAATCGGGGCAAATCGAGTGCGGTCCCACACAAGTGAAGCGCACCATAAGAGGGTTAGTCCAAATGAAGCCCAAGTGGGGTTCCATCCCAAAACCAATTGGTGATGGGAGGAGTAGCCCACTAAGCTTATAAGTTAGGTCTATTTACCCTATCAAATCAATGTGGGACAACTCACAAGTGACATTCCAACATATACACTTCCTATATTCAATGGATTTAGTTCCCTTCGAACACGATTATTGAGCTCTCCAAGACCATTAAGGTCGCCGTTCCCCGAGGGGTTGGAGGTCGGCAATAAACTTGAAGGCCCTAGGCCGTCATATGGCGCCTCAAAACATTCCCAGGCTCGAGCATGTCGACGTCGGCATATTGACCTCGACATTTCCCACACCTAGCCATGGTGCTCTCCCGCAACTGCTCTCAAGGTCCACCGACCTCCGAGCTCCATGCTCCCTTAATCTTCCAACCTCCGAGTTGTATATCTTGGTCGTGACAGAATCAAGCCAAGTACCACCGAAGAGAGCTCTCCGGAAATGGTCCCAGCCAAGTCATGTTCATGGTATACCGAAACCCCTTTTTAGTTGGACTTGCGTTATCTACCAATTAGGTCAAACCTAGATCCACTCATTAGGCCTCCTGAGGTCAGCCTTTAAGATCTTATCGGACTGCTCAGTTGATCCACCTATATCCGATCTGACCCCAACCCCTGCCGAGTTAGACCTCGACTAACCAAGCGGGATGCTCTTGAGGGTTATATCATCTAGTCTCTCCATTATTTGAACGAGCTGCTAAAGCTTGTTAAAAAATGTTGATAAAAATTTTAGACCTGGCGTGAGCACGTCTCACATTATAAACGTGTGATCTGGAGTAACGCATACGTCACGTCAGTCAGGCTTCCTCCACACGCATCCCATCTTCACCGTAGATTTACTTTCAAAATGTGTGGCTTTCACCGTAGATTTACTTTCAAAATGTGTGGCTTTGATCCTCCGACCTTTCACATCATCACGCCACCATCCCAGACGTCCTCCTCATTCTGATCCTACGATCTACAATTTTCGAGGTCGATTCCTCTTCTTCAGTCTCCTATAAATACCTGATTGGCCTCTCATGTCTAACAACATCATGGGTATGTGAACTTTTATCTCTTCCGCTTACCCTTATCACTTCTTCATCTCAATTATTTTAACTGTTTGGTTTACGCATTTCTTTTTTCTTTTTAGTAGAACACCTCAGCCCCATAACCAGCTCAAACACTCCTTCCCCTTCAAACTTAGAGCCCCTAGGAGAACCCTCGGTGACCTTAGCCCTACCTGCTCTGCCAGGCGCGACCGACAAGGTTACGGTAGCCGCGAGTGCCAATGCAAAAGGGGTCTCTCATGCTGTTAGAGTAGTACGACCTAACCTCATATTTGTCTACTCAACCGTCCAGGTTACAAACCTTCTTCACAAGGTCGAGCTACCTCGGGGCTGGGATCTTAGAATCCCCCGAGCCAGAGATACCTACTGCCAACCTCCCCCAGGCTACTATACGTTCTTCCTCAGGCTACTATACGTTCTTCCTCGACCCAGCCGAGGCCGGTCTAAAACTACTTCTACGCGACATTTTCGTTGAAATAAGTCGGCCTATACCACTTCCCGCTAAACTATTTTTCTCCCAATTCCATTAGACTCTTCGTCGACTTCATCATGGTATCCCGCGCTCGACCCGACCTCTGTTTCTGTTGCCTCTAGATGAAAACCCAAAGAGGCTTATGTTACGGATTATGTATAATTATTTGATCGTCGGAAGGCTCTATGCTGGAAACCCTTCTGGCACTTTCTCGGGTACTCAAACGAGAGGTCAAGCGAGATCCAAAATTACAAAGAACCAATCACTTCAACCCGGTTTATTGATCCTAACAGAAAATCTTACCACTTTCACTAGCTACTCCATTTATCTGCTTATTATATACCACTTAACCATAAAAAGTTCATCAATATGCATCAAAGTTGTGTCAGTATATTTGCCCTTTTAACATCAATGGTGTCTCGTACTACCAAACCAGCATCACAATCCTGATAAATTTACTATTATATTTACTTTTTTGGATAACCTAAAACAGACTATCAATACTATGATAACTTTACTATTATAATACTTAAATATCGCAAGGCAGGCAGAAGCAAAAAAAAAATGCCCAAGTTCTCAAACCACACCAGTCATCCACCACAATATATATTTGAACACCATCCATAAATAAAAATACAACATCCAAACACTGTCCTATTTTCCACTACCAACGAAAAGTCGCACTACGGTTGCCAGAAGCCGGGAAAGCCTGACGCCTTCTACCCTGTCCAAACTCTGTGGGGCCCTCATCCTTCCCCGACTTTTCCTTCACCAAACCCTTTTGCCTGTCTTGTTTCCTAACACTACGATCATCATCCTCACCCATTGGTTCTCCTTTGCGATTTGCCCCAAATTTCACCTGTTTTCGTGCAGCCTCATAGTCAAAAGGCTTCACCTCCAAGAAAGATGGAGATTTACCAACGGCTTTACCACTTATAGTCTGATCTGGCGAGGGTAGGCACTTTTGGAAGCTGGAAGACAGGTCATCGAGCGACATGGGCTCATCCACATCTGAACCCGAATTTTGTTCTTGGTCCTTTCTTTCAGGAGGGTCATTGGAGCTGTTGGGGGCACGTGTGTCATCTCTTGCCAGGTCAACATCGGAGTCTGAGTCAGCATCCAAGATGATGATGTCTTCTAGAGTCGAGGCTGGGACAGGAGCTGAAGATTCTGTGTGGTGCTGCGCAGTATCGAGATTCTTGGCAGTTTCTTCAGGATCCGTTTGGAGTCTCTCGTTCATACCCGAGAATGTAAGGAAAGGAAGGCTAACCGTTGATTTTATCTGATCCAGTTTACCGCCTCCGTGTTTCTGGAAAATTTAATAAAAAGGAAAAATATAAAGTTGTTTAAATAAACAACAATTGAGAAAATAAAAAAATAAAAATAAAAAAATAAAAATAAAAAAAAAAAAAGAGAGAGAAAGAAAAGGAAGAAATGAAGCAGGCCAAGTTCTCTCTTCTCTGGATAAGAAACTTACTGTTTCATCAGGATTGAACTTCCTCTTTGCCGAATTTCCAAGCAACGCGCCAAAAGCTCGGCTAGGCTTCTTCAGCAGCTGAACAGTTGCTTCAGCCTGAAACGAAACAAGTGATAATTATTTTAATACCCCTATATATTAATTCAAAACGTGCTGCACTTAAGGGGCAGGCTCCCATGCTTCGAGGTCCTATGTGGCAAAATTACATGTTTCGTTATTAGGTTTCGGTAGATTTTAATTTAATTCCAATCTAAAAATAATTAGGTCCGGATAATCCATAAATATATAAATATGTTGATTATTTATGGTTATGTAACAAGTATTAATTGCATTTTAATATCATTGTTATTATAACCATTGAATTGTAAATGTATTTTCAAATTTAATAACTTTTGTATTTTTTATCAGTTTCACATATATAACATATATCAAATTAATCATCTCTTGATGAGCTTCGATTTAACATCCATATTGTATGTATAATAAAACAAATTATATTTATTTTTATAACAATAATAAAATTGTTTTTTAGTATTACTTAGAAAAATAAATTATTTATAATTTAATATATTTATATTTCAAGTAGTTATATGAAATAAGTTATAAAAATTACTATAATATAACACATGTAAGTCGCACGGCACAAGTAACAAGTGTCATTCTAAAATGTATAATAATATATATTTTTTGTAAAAATGTAAATAAAATTTAAAATAATTTCTATCATTAATTTTAAAATGTAAGAATAATAATTTTAAAACCATAAAGATTTGCTGCGACTTCATCTGTTCAAGAAACCATGTAATTTAGAGAACAGGTTTACTCGTCAAAAGGTACTAATGGAGACAAGTTACGAGGAGTTTAGCCTTTTGTAATGCATTAGTTATAAGCGACTTACAGAATGTGATGAACTCACATTAGCATGTCCATCTTTAGGGTCTCCAAGTACAGGCCGCGTCTCACTATTATCATTTGCAATACTGATATCTTTACCCTTTTCACTATTGTCCCGAAACTCAACCTTATGTTGTGTGGACCCTGTTGAGTTCCCAACCACAGGATCATTACACGAACTGATGTTTTGCACATTATCGACTCCCTCAGCAATCTTCAATATTTCATCAGGAGCTTCAGAATGTGGTACTTCGGTGTCCTCTGTGGCCAAAGTGTGTTCTTCGTTTGCCTGCATATAAAGATGATCCATCACATAACCAGAATAAATATATTTGATACAAAAATGTGGTATCCTTGTAGATTTAATCCATGCTCCATCATATGTTGTTACTCCTGATATTACGCACGCGTGTCTAAGCATGAAATAAGCATATGCTCAATAACCGAGATAACAACACATGGAGATACAAATCTAGAAAATCCGAACCCATACTGAACACTCACCAATTCCAAGCGTCTTTCATTAAGAAGTTTAGCAGCCTCCTCAAATGCAGAAGCATTTTGAATTGAGTGCCTTATAATACTGACAACTGAACCAAGATTCCGTTCGATATAAGGGTGCTTAGATTTCAAGATCCGACGCAAGTGGTTTGTTGTGAGAGGCATCTCCTTAGCTTTTCAGCCCCAAAAGTAAATAGGAAAAAAAAAAAGAAACAGATGAAGGCAAAAGAGACAGAAGGGATTAGTCAAACAGCAAAAATCATAACATTTAACGAGTAGTGCACAACTATTAGCACAGCACATATAGAAATTTTGAGAGAAAGCAATTAGTATTTAGTCATAGTTGAAATATGAAATCGTAGGTTCTCACCAATTTCAATAAGAGTTCTATTGGGCAAAACATAACCAGTACTCTCATCTTCTGAACGAGCAATGACATCCCTCCACTCACAAAGTCCCTGTAGGCCATTCGAGAGTTCAGTAGGAAACATGTAATTGACATTTGACAGAAAGCAAAAATAGCATAAAGATCTAGGAAAAATATAAGTTTAATGGTTTAAGGCTAAAACTGTGGTTATTTAACTCCCAGAAAACTCTCTTATCACATAAAGGAAAAAAAAATAATGAGAGATCATAAAACTAGAAAAGCAGAAAATAAACAGCTTGTGAAGAACGAACTTACAGAAACAACTGCTAGCTGTTGAGCATTCAGCCCAGCATTATGCACCCTGTATTAACATTACAAACATATCAAATCAGCACAGCTAAACGACAAAACTAATACCGTGTCAAAATGGGAAAAGAGTTAACCTCATCTTCACAGGATGAAAAGAAAAAAATACCCATAAATGTGAAGATATGAAGATTCTGTCAGAAGCTCTTTCTCATAGAGTTGAGTGCATATATCATAACTGCGTTTGTAGACCTTCAACAGACAAAACATAGCAGTTAGATAGTCGCCGAGTAAAGAGTTGAAGGACGAAAAATTGTGCAATAAATAGTTAAATACCCATATTTGTTCGATCTTGAGCCATTTTAAGAAATCGTTATACAAGTAAATGAGACCATCTTTGAGACAGCTTATAACTTCCAGTGTTCTCTTACTCCTAAGGCTATAATAGAACTACAGCACCAATCGAACAGACAAAATCTACAACTTCAGGAACTTCGCCCAAAATCTCTACCAAGCACTTGTTCGATAACAATATGCAAAATAGTCCTCCCACAGCTTTATAATAATCTCTACTAACTGATAAAAAACTAACTCTCGGCTCGATTAAGTTTTTGTGATAAAATTTACACAATTCGCAACCTATATCAGGTATTTGTGGCTGCCTATGGAACCAAATACCCCTATATTAAGTCCCTTCAAAAATATCAAACAATTAGAAGAGAGAATAATAATAATGGGCTATATTACTGTGCAACAAAATTAAGGGCTGTCCAACCTATAAAATGTAAATGTGACTCTTGACGAGCAAGGACATCCTAATAGGTAAGAGTCAAAAAATTGGAAGTCACATTTATTACGCTCCATACTAGAAACCAAAATATGACAAATAGATGCCAATAACCACATAATTGGGAAATAGTTAGCCAAAATTGAAGTTTAAATAATTGAAAGTTCGAATATAAATTCTTCACAGTTCCCAAAATTGATGGATATAAGGTCAGAATAAAAGACTCAGAACCTCAAAAATAACAATCCTCCACACACAACATGGACTCCTCGCGGACCTCAATGTTTCGACATATTTATCACTCTAGTGCATTAATTTAATCATCTTGCAAGTGTCTCATCCATTACTTATATAGTTTGATACAGCATTATATAAATGGAAACCCAGGTTTCTAAGTAAAGGAGTATTCTACTTTTATTTGAATCTTCTAAGAGCATATAACTAACAATGAATAATATTAAAGTGCTTGCCTCAATTAGAGGAGGATCAGAACTTTCAGAATCGGCAGATAACTTGAGCAACCTTATCCTCATAAGATCATATATATACAACAAATAATGTGTATCTTCTCGGGCATATCTGGGGAAAAAGTTACATTGAATAACGTTAATACAGTTATAAAAGCTATTAACTTAAGATGCTTCACCCATGATACCGTATATTTAACATGGATTAAACCAAATTCCTAACACAATATCCAATTAAATTTTCTAAAAAATACAGGCTTCCAGATTTCAATAGCTGAGCACAGAGCAGAAATATCGAAAGTCTTACCAAAATTCATCCAAGATTTTTATCCTGTGTTGTATGTGTTGGTTCCAGGACTTACAAGAGAATCTAAAGTCACAAAACGAAAAGCTAATTCTACATTTTCAAAAAGCAAACAATCCACTTGACATGAAAGGACAACAAGAATAGTACCACGGACTTGGACAAGACATGCAAAGAATGTCTAACTGAGAGCAAAGATGCATATGAATTAACAATAGCAATTGGGAAAAAACTAGAGACTTTAAACCTCAGAAGCAGAAGAGAACAGAGCCGTGCCAATCTATGACCTAACAGATAATATACCATTTTGCACTCAAACTATACATATTCGTAGAATTTTGGAAGATAATTAAACAAAGGTATAACCTAATGTCATACAGCTGCATTTAGCAGAGCATGCATTTAACCACATATGACTAAGAGGTGAATCTACACATACCAATAGCTAACAATGTCAAGTAAAAACTATAGAGAAACCAATAAGACAAATTCTTGTAGATTACATACTTGATCATCTCATGCGGAAGAGGTCTAATTCTCCAATCTGCATTCTGGTATCTGTGACAACAGACTGGTTAGTCTGAGAAAACGTCCTCTCCATCGACAAATCTTATCTACTAATCCATCTCTAATTCTCTATTTTTACATTTCTTTGTGTGTGAAGTGTGTAGGATTGTTCTTTCAATTACTCAAAGTGGTAATATCAACCATAGTAGAAGGAAAGAGAGCATACTCTTTGTTTGCTGTAACTCCACAGAAATGATTCAAGAGATGTTCCAGGCTGTACCTTTCCATTTTCAAAACCCTTGAGGCCTATTATAAAGAGGAAAAATTGTACTCAGCCACAGTATCAGACAAAGAAGCATCACAGTACATCAAGCACATGCTCCTCTAATGCACAGATATGGAGAAGGGGAAATTTACAATGCTCGATATATATATTACAAATACCCATAAGGCTCCACTGTCATGATACAAGAAAATTTTAATAATTTTTCAGAATGAATAGTAAATCCAAACTCTATTATAAAGTGCATAGAGTTATAGAAACAAAATTAGCTGGTCCTTCTAGGAGGAAACAATAAAATGCCTGATAGATATTTAAAGATAACAAAATAAAAAGAAACCACACATTTCAAACAAATCGAACTACAGTCAAGTACCTGTCCCGTGTCAAACATATTACAGACATAAATGCCAAAGTCACGTTGAAGCCACATGATATCACGGTCTGCTCCATGCATTACCTAAATTCAAACATCATAATTCACAAGTAAAAGGAAAAGCTGCAATCAGAACAAAAGGTAGTAACAATAATAATAACAACAATGATAAAAAAATAAATAAAATAAATAATAATAATAATAATTAATTAATAATTTGAAGATTTACCTTTCTCTTAGTTGGATCTTTGAATACTTCTCTGAGATACGGACCAATGTGAATGCGAAGTTTCAGAGTGTCGATTATAAAGTCTTCCGTTCTTGTAGATATTTGCATCAAACATGTCAGCCCTTGAAAGGACCTATAATGGTTGTGTTCTAAATCAACCTGCGAAACAAAAGCACATGCCCCAAATAAAAATGATTGCAAGAGGAATGAAAATTTGACTCTGAATTTAATTATGAGAACAATAATCTTCTGGTAATATTTGCTTCCATATGAAGACTTGCATTGTACCAAGCACTATCTTCTTATATATATACCAATCTATATAATTTATTTCCTAATTATTTCCCACTTCTATGTACAAAGAGAAAGTCAAGGTAGAGGTTTAACAGAAGCTCAAGCCCTTCAATAAACGACTCAGGGTTTTAACATTAGCTGCAGTGAATACTCGAACATAAACTGCACATACTGCTGCAGACTGAGAGACAGATAATGACCAATAATTTCCATCAATTTGTATCACCAAATAGTAAAATGAGCAAACATTACCGCAAATTCATTCACATTACGCAGCGTGATGGCTAACTGCTTCAAGTCTTTAACGTTCTCCACAAATTTGAGTGGCGTAAGTTCGATCGGAAGAGGTTTTTCGGGTTCATCCATACTATCACTCTTATCAACAAAGTCGAGAACAGAGAGCTCCTCCTGTAGCGTAGAAGCAAATAAAATTAACACTACAGATGCATTTATTTTAAAAGAACTTGAAAGAACATACTTAGAGCATATTTGTATACAAAATTTTTCACTCAAAGTGGATTGTTTTGGTTAACTTAAGTTAATTTGGAAAAAGATGGAATGGTTAGTTGTTAGCGGGATTTTGGATTTATATTAAAATAATATTTAAAATAAAATAATTAAAGTTGATTTGATAAAAAAGTAGGAGAAAGATGATATGAAGTGATGGTTAGTTAAAATTATGCGAGTAGGTGAATAGTGAATTAAAGTATATATGATGCGTAAGAATGATTGGATGGTATTATTTAATTATATTGATAATATTGAGGAATTTTAGTTTAGTTAAAATTGAGTTAGATTTTAAATTAAATGAAATTTTGAGTGAAAAAATTTGTATACAAACACGCTATTAGTGCCCCATGAGCAACATCGGGTATGTATAAGCATGTAACTTTATTCGAGTAACTCATCTTTGTTACTGATTAGTTAGAGGAAAAAAGAAATTATATCTGAGGCAAGTGTGAACTTTATAGGTATAGTCGGAATTATCCAATATGTAATTTCAATAATCAACCTTTCACTGACAAATTTTTTATTAATCATAGTTAAATATTAATTGCATAAATTCAGCACATCAGCAAAGGTCCAACAACTCTCGTATATATTTGCTGACTTCCTACGGAAATAATAGTTTTGCTATTCCAACACAACTTACCCATTCAATCTCTCCCTGGTTGATCTAACAACCTTTGTTCATTCTCAATAACCAGGTCCATAGGGTGCCCATTGAATGTTTTAATGTAAGGCCAACATATTCCATAGAAAAAAAAAAAAAAAAGTTCTTTCTGTTTATCACTACTACTCCAGGAAAGACCGGATACACAAATTGGCAGCTACTGCACATTTGACTTAGAAAACAAGCTCGGCCACACAGTTTAACTATAAGGTGAGATTTGCAAGACATCAATTTTCAGAAACTGAAATAGAATTAAAACAAAACCAAAATTATATCCAAAAAAAAAAAAAACACACACACACACATTTAGATTGAATATCCTTCTAATATATTTCCAACTTGATCTCTCTGTTAAATCATGAAACTCATCATACCAAGTACCATTAACTAAATCACACATTGAGAAAATGAATAGGCATAAAACTTGAGAAACTAACCAAAGGATGTAAGAACCTAGAACCATCCTCACTCCTCTGCAACCACACATGCTCAAACGGCTGGTTCGTATTATTCACAATGATCTTATACTCATCCTGCGGCTTCGTTATAGAAGGTACGTGAAACGGGATTTTTGGCTTCAACTTGGTAGCCACCTTCACTTCTTGAGCCCCTTTCACTTCCCCATCAGCATTCCTCGCCACACCCCCCACAGGTTTCTTGTTCTTCTTCCCATAAACCATCTGAAACCCATCCTCATCAACCCCATTGACCCTCATCGTCCTCACGCCACTCTCCTCTTCCTCCTTACGCAGCCCCCTGAAATCATCCAAGGACACATCGAACCTCTCGAAAATCTCGTCGTTCACGTTCACCAGCCAATCAAGCGCCGCGTCGTCGTCCAACTCGACGTCCTTGTCGTCCGGCAGAGGGATTTTCTTCCCGAACAAATCCTTCGACGCACCGATTTTCTCCAGAAGATTCTTGGACTTCTTGTCGAATTCCTTGATGGGGAGCTTGAAATCTTGAAAATTGTTGTAGAAATGGAAGTCCTTTCGGGAGGGTAAGATGCGACACGAACCGGAGAGCTTCGCCATGGAAATGGGCAGCGGGCCGTTGGCCGAGAGATTTCGCAGCATATCGGATCTTCTCTCGACTTCGTCGTCATCGGATTGGTCGATTTCCATTATCTTTTTTTATTTTTTTTGTCTTTTTCGATTAATGAGAAATTCTTGATTGGCATTGATGGGATGAATTGATTTTGGCTGTTAGGGTTTTAGGGTTTTAAACAGATTGCTTATATGTGATGCTGCACAGGGGGAGGAAAAGCTCCTCTGCGATTTGATGCACACTCAACAATGCGTGACGTACAACAGGTTGAAGCATAGGGGTTACATGCTATGGGAGTCAACGGATGGCTCGACTTATGAAGTAATCCACCGTCATCCACAAATAGTGTATTGACATGTGTCCTACAATAAATACACTATTTTGGACAAGCATCAATGCATTAAACGATGGATAGCTCCATAATAGAATTTTTATACACATTATATCTACTTTAATTCACTACTAGTGTTGTACTCATGCGATTCACGAGCTAATTTTATTAAGGTACGCATTTATATATATATTTTTTTTGGTACAATAAAGGGGGGCCGAGACCTACGAACTACGAGGACAAAACACGACGGGGATAAGCCACCGCAATGAGATCATGTTCGAGCCACCAGCCTAAGGACGGGGGTGGTAAGTTCAAATAGTGCACACCAAGTGGTTGAGACGCCGCTAAGGAAGCCTGGTGATCGGCAGCGAAATTCGCTTCTCGAAACACATGTACAAGGACCACCGACCAGTCGCGATCCCGTAGTTCTCTTATTGCCCTAACGAGACTACCATGAATACTACTCATCTCTTCCGTTCCCATAACCATGCTAATCACGCTACTATTGTCCACTTCCGCCACCACCTTACGAGTACCCAAATTCCACGCAAGAGATAGCCCATGAAAGAGGCCCCACAGCTCGGCTCCGGTAATGGAGCAAATACCAACATTCATCATAAACCCTCCGAGCCAACGACCAAGAGAATCACGGATCAACCCTCCCGCAGACCCATAAGTCGAATGGGATGAAAACGCTCCATCCGAGTTGACCTTAATCCACTCCGGCTGAGGCAAGGACCAACGGATTAATCGAGTTTCGTATTGTCGGGCTAGATCACCAATTTTCCGAAGACCCGAAGCCGCTGCAAGGCAGCCCTGCACTCGTCGTTTTATATCACAAACCTTGGCATCTACTCGCCACGAAGTTGTAGAAAAAATGGACGCATTTCGCCACGACCATATTCGCCAACATGCATAAGAGAAAGTCACCGGCCACTCCTCATCCAAAAACTCCACATCTGGGGTCAGATTAAGCCAAAGCTAGTCCGCACGGTCGAAGGCAAAGAAGCGTTCACGCGCAGCACACGGTACCAAATGGGTCCAGACTAGGCCGGCCGCGACGCAGTCACGAAGAACATGGAGGGTGGACTCCGTCTCACCACAAATCTCACATGCCGCTGAGTCAACCAGATGCCGGCAATGGCGTTCCATATTTTTTAGCAGCCGATCACGAGCAACTAGCCAGAGGAAGTGCCGAACTCGCTGTGCTACTGGGGCCCGCCAGACCAGCTTCCACAAGGGTCGGACTGTAAGTGGTTCATTCCCGGCTAGAAGAGAGTACGCAGACTTGGTTGAGAAGCTCCCATGACTCGTCAAACCCCAAATCACACGATCCTTGCCCGCTCGAGCTTGGGGCGACATGGTCGCCGCTATGCGTAACACTATTATCGCCGAAGGAGATCAGCGAAACTGCTCCCATCCCAGCTACCATGCGCATCCACAAAATCAGCTACTGGTCTTGGTAGCATTTCTGGGGGTACAGCGCCTACGGCGGCCGTTATCAACGGCTTTTGGGTGTCGATCCACGTGTCAAGCCAGAACCGACACGTCTGCCCATTCCCCAATGTCCAGCGACAGCCCTTCGACATATGTGGCCATATCCTAGCCACCGCCCGCAAACACACCGAGCCATTCGGAAACTTGAAGTCACTAGGCATAGAGAAAGGGTCGAGCTTGTACTTAGCACATACCACGCGCACCCACAAGGAGTTAGGTTTTGTGAGGAGGGCCCATCCCATTTTCATCAGAAGAGCATCGTTCATTAACCGGGACTCTTTGAGACCTAACCCACCACACTCGCGAGGTTTGCATACCTCCCTCCACGGGACCAAGTGTAGGCCACATCGAGTATCCGACCCTCCCCACACGAAAGACCGACAAAGTTTGTCCATTCATTCGCACACAGCCACCGGTAAACTAACCGTTTGCAATGATTGGAACAACATAAAACCATGTATTGGAATAAAACAAAATGTAACATATATATTATTAAACAGAAAACAATGTACCTCAGTGTAAACCGTATTTAAGAAAATAAAAACTCAACACCTATATATATTAAGATTCTAAATAGGCTTAAATAAATCAATTAAATTATTTAGAAGGATATATATGACATGATTTATACTGATTTTTATAAAGACTGCATAGTCAAATATAACGAAGATTGTAAAACGTCTTTCTTGATAATCTACAGTCTTATTATTTTAAAATTGTAAATTACTTAATTTAAGGAAGAAAAAAAATTGTGTACATGTATGCAATCAATTTTAAATTTGTATTCTATAAAATTAAACAAAACCAAATTTTAGGATGTTCCAATCCGATTTCATTTTGAATTTCAAATTAATATTATCTAACTCTGTTTTATGTTTAAAAAAATTCGAACTAAAGAAAGTAGTAGCCAAATGATATGAGATTTTCAAATTTTAATTATCAATTTTGAAATTGGGTCGATGCAATCCAATTTTGTTTTTAATTAACATGAAATGTTGAAATTAGGTAAATATATATGTTATTGTATTTTCCTAATTCGAAATTCTCGATTTTATGGTAAACAATTTTTTTAATAAAAAATAAGAAAATTTTTACTTTTACAAAATTGTCATGCCGAATTTTATCTAAAGTAACCCGATTTCTATGTAATTCGAGTTTTTTAATAAACAATTGATCTATTGCAATTAGGAAAAGATATATGCAATAGTATTTTGCCTAATTTAAAATTCCCGATTTTATGATAATCAGTATTAATTAAAGAATGAGAAATAATTTTGACATTTATAAAATTGTAAGCATCAGTAGAAATTTACCTAAATCAAATCTACAAAACCCGTAAATTTAGGGTCCATATATAGTTGCTCGATATTTTGAGAATAATTTAAAAATTAAAAAACTGCCAAAAATAGAATACAATAAATGCTGGTTGACTTTTCTTGTTTACTACTTTCAGCAAATAAGTTCTCTCTTTATATATGTATAAATTCATTCACTCACATAATTTTAACTGACTATTATTCATATCATTTCTCTCTTATTTTTATATCAAATCAACTTTAACTATTTTATTTTAAATATTATTTTAATATAAATCCAAAATCCACTAACAACTAACCATGCAATATTTTTCCAAATTATCTGTAGTTAATAAACAAAATACACTTCGGAGTGAAAATTTTTGTATACAAACATGCTTTGAACCACCCCCACCACTGAAATTGTTTTTATTAACACATATATTAACTCTAACTCAATTATATTTACTACCATTTTTTTTATAAATTAATCCTAAATGAAGCCATTTTAAAGGCATTAAACTCAAAAACTCCTGTTTTCAAAACGTACCTCTTAAAATTCTTCTCCCATTTTCAAAACACTAGATTCCAATCCCTCAACGAGAATGAAAACCACCATCATCTTCAACAAGCACCACAAATTCGTCTGCCACAATCTTAAGGTCATTGCGCTAGATTCTCAATCCCACGAAGGGTCGGACATGGATTTGAGCAGCTTCTGGTCAAGCGCACCACCAACATCAAGCGCGGGAAAGTGATTTCTTTTCTTATTTTCCAACCACCGAGAAGCGGATCCATCGACATTTCTCTTTCCTTATCCCCCAATAACTAAGCGACGGATCTCTCATTGTCGTTTCCACTTTTCCCATTCACTGAGGCTATGCTTTTGTCTATGTGGCGAAATCATGTCCGCCAGTAGGGATTGTGTAGTTTTCGGTGACGACTGCATGTGATTTGTAAAGGGTTTATGAGGTTTTTAACTTTTGATCTTCTGTAGATAAGTTTGCTCAATTTCTTCCCACGCGTTTATAGGGTTTTCATTATATGTTTTTGGGGTCCATGATTGTTTATTCGACCAATTGATTTTCTTCAATTCGAAAATTATTTTTCAACTGAAGGTGTGCATATTGTTTTAATGGAAATACGAGAAGCTCGATAGGCCTCCATGCCTGCTTGTCCGATCAAGCCATCTACTTCACAAATGGGGGAAGGGCGGTCGTGGACTTCGCCCCGACCTATGATGCTGATGTGCGTTTGTTGCATGGTCTGAAAGCGAAGATGAACTTAATTGATGTTTATTGATAGTTTGATTATGACATAAGTATTCTTTTTCTTAGTTTTGGTTTTTATAATTTATATTCAATATATGTATGGTTGATGATGTTTCAGTCTTTGGATAAATATTTTCATATATTTGATTTTTTATGTTGTGGAAGATTTATAATAATTTGATTGTTTAGTTGATATTTATTAATAATTTATGTTGGTACATAAC